CAATGGAAGTCCCTCTTCTTGCCATGGAAGTACTCCTTTTGGGATGGGGGTTTGTGGTCTTGGAACTGTAAGTCCCGCTCCATCACAGTCTGTGACATAAAAAGACCCGCCTACCCAACATCGATTCCTGTCCCCCTTGCCACCCTGTTGGCCACCATGTTGGTCCTAGAATCCCCTGCCCCCATCACATGGTCCCTGACATCCACAGATCTACCCCTTGACTGGGAAAAAGTGCCCCTCTGGAGGGCCTTCTTTCCTGGTGCATGTAAACTCATGTCAAGGGGTGGGAGAGGGGAAGGCACCTAGAACTTGGCACCGACCAGCGCCTGCAGCAGGAGCTGGAGCAGAGGGAGAGGAAGGCAGGGGTTGTTTAGGGGCTGGGTCCCTCCACGGCCCCTCAGGCACTGCTACATGTCTCAGCCCCTCATCACCCTCCATTTACAGGCTGCAGTCCTGGGCCAGAGCTGGAGCTGCTAATACAGGCACCTCCCACGGGGGAGGAAGAAGAGGGGAAAATGCCGGGGGCCAGATGGAATCACTTGGTGGGTTGAATCCGGCCTGTGGCCCATGTTTTGCCCATCTCTGACATAGTCACATAGAAATCTGTGAAGAAGGACCTCCATTGACTTCAGTGGGTTTTGAATAAGGCCAGTGGACAGAGCTAAAATAAATGGCTTTGATTTTTTTGCAGTTTGTTGCATTCATCCTGACTGTACCCACCTGAACAAAACAAATTGCTGGATTGGTTCAGGGTTTGTACCCATGAAACTTATTTAAAAAACATCGTTTTCCTGTGAAGTCAGCCTTTTTTATTGGAATGTTTATAAGTGGATCTAGATGTTGTAAAAAAAAAAAAAAACTTTTAGAGAAAACTAAATCTCAGGCTAAATTTGATCTGCTCTTGTCACTGTAAGATTTCACTCCTTCCCTTTTCAGTCCTTTGTGTATTTCTGCATCTTCACTGAAACTGTCTCCTGTTTACACCCAGGTTGTTTTTTTTTCCAGTTTTAATTTTGCAGAAAGAAAACTGGCAAAGAACATTAAGGATGAGAGGAGCTTGAAAATATATCAGTAAAACCCAAACAACTTTATATCGTAGGAAATGAAATTCCAAAAACAGGAAGAATTTAAAGGCTGAAAAAGTAGACTTAAGTAGTCTTGTCTCTGGAACAGTTTTTCTGCTGACTTTAATGCTGCATATACAATTTATTAAAGTTCCAAATGATTATAAATCTGATTTAGGGTCTTTTTTGTGTTTTAAATAAAAAGACATCTTAATGTGTACTGTCCAATGAGAACCTTTGGATCTTTTGTTTTTGTAATGCGTTTTGCTGAAGAGTGCAGCTGCTTGCATTTTTCGCCTGGAGACAACGGATCAGTCGCATGCCGAGTTGCCTGAATCTATGTATGACCAAGAGGCAGTTTTATCCCCAGGAGACCATAATGCCTTAGTTGTCTTGGATACATGACATCATATAGCATTGTAATCAAATATAGGCCTTTTGCCTTTCATTTGGGATTTAAATCTGACCTCCAATCTGAAAAGCAACTCTTGTGAGCTGGACAGCATGTTGCATGGAAGAGTCTGAGACAAAGAAAAGCAGAGGGAATAAAAGGTTAAATAGGGGAATGGTCTGGTTGTCATGTCCTTAATATTAATACGTTAATCAGATAAAAGAATTGTTCTTAACATTTTCAGCTCATAGCTCTAGTTTTACAGTGTTGAGAGATTCTATTGACATCTGTGAGTTGTCAGTTTCTCTAATGCAGGAAGATATTCTGTGAACTTGTCCTCAGCCACTTGTATGCACACTGACTTTTAGGATTACAGAAATGTTTCTGCATCTGAATAGAATATTTTTTTTTCTACAAGGGCCTGTCTAAACACAGGTTTTATATTGCTTTAACTGCTTCAGATTAAAATCTAAATAGTTAAATCAGTACTCAGTGTGGATGCAGATCCCATACACTTAGAATCCCATACAAGACATCTTTAAAATAAAATTGTGTATGCACTAAGGGCTGTACTGATATATTTGTTATGGTTTAGGATAAGCCCACACCTAGTTTAATTATGCCAGAAGTCTCAGACCTGTTCTACAAACAGTTTTTGTACAGATTTAACCATTTTAAAGTCCTAAGCATCCTGTAGTTTATAACTGAGTCCAGGGCTTGGTTACATCACTACTGTCCTCTGACACGCTTACAGCATGCTTAAAAATGTTACCCTCTGTGTGACTTCCAGTGTCCCCACTGGACTTGGACTGCATACAGAAGAATTTTTAGCTTTTGTCAGGGAGTAACTGCATTGTAAGTAAATGCCTTGATTCATCTGAATTAATAGTATGTTCTAGTGCCATCTGGAATCCATTCCCACAAGAATAAATGGGCCTGCTCCACAAAAATAAAGGTTTATCCAACCTAGGATATCATTTACACAGGAACAAGCACCATCTAAATGATACTCTTTTAATGAAGAAGAAAAGCAGAAAAACAAATTAGTTGTGGCTACTTAAGAAAACATCTCAGCACAGCTCTAAATTTAGTAGACATTTTATTAACTTTTTTATGGCAGATTAGCTCCAACTTTGTAATTGTATGGCCTGATTTCTGCCTGTCCCTCCTGCCCTCCCCCCACGCCTTGTGTATTGTTTACACTTGGCAGTTCAAAATAGGTGTGAAATACCAATCTATGTGAATGGTGAGTTCTGATTCGGTATAGTTTACATGTCCATTTTGTCCAGGAGTAAATCACTACACAGAATATAAAACACAGTTTAGGTGAGGCTTTATTACTGCTGCTTTTGTGTGGCAAGAGATGTGATCAGTAATGTTTGGAGAACAAATGCTTATAGTAGGTGTGCACCAGCCTTATTTATTTCCTGTATAATATATAGTAAAGATAGTGATGAAGTGGTGGGGATTTGCCAGATTTCAAGAAATCTGTTTCTGACCTTCTCTGTGTCAACTTGACACTTTTGGCAGTTAAGTAAAGGTGTGAGGTGCGCACTCTAGCTGTCACTTGATTGGCAGTATGTTACTGCATCAGGAGCTGCAAGTTCATGGAGCAGTGTCCAGGTATTGTGACAGAAAGGAGTGAAGTCAACAATCCCTATTATCTTGTTCCTTCCTTTTGGCAGGGCAGTGTTCAAAGATGCTCTTCCTGCTTTTGCTATACACTTCAAGAGTTTGAATGTTTCTGGTTTCTAGCAAGAAGAGTAGTCATTGCAGTAACTACAGGGAATGTGCTTTATGGCCATTTTGGTAACATGAACAAAATGATTTTGCTTTTCCAGGATCGGTTTGGTTTGGTGCATCATATCTTCAACTTCTGAGGTCCGCACAATTCAGTCTGCTCTGCAGAAATTTCAGTAGAGTTTTGAGTTCAGTTTGATCAACAGGATTTCAGAGATGATATGCAGCATAATAACGTGGTTATCCACAAAGAAAATGCCTACATCTGACACTTGCAGGGGAACAGCCCCATTGTCCAGTAGGCATCCCATGTTTATCTAGCTGAGTGAAAAGTCCCCGGTGTTGAAAAGAAGGTGATCACTCATAAATGAGCTTGCCAGCATCACTTCTCTTCCAGCCCCATTGTGAATGGTGGGTTTTAAAGTTCCCAAAGTACACAACTGGTTGGGGAGAAAGATGGTAATTCAGGTGTTCGGGTCAGTTGTCTGAAATTTTTAAATTCATCAACAGAAATTTTCAGTCTTGGATTCCCCCCAGAATTGCAACATCTGTGGCACTTAGCATGGTTGTACCTAAGGGTGTTCACAGTGGTGAAGAGTTCATAGTGATGAATCTTGCAGGTTATGCTTGGTGTGCAGGGAATTTCTGGTAGAGTAGTAATATTAGTGGTGTTCAGTTTGGCTAAGTACAGACAATCAAAAAGCCTGAGACTGAATGGATTAAATCTTTGCAGATTAGTCTAACCTGCATAGATTGAACTGGCAAGCGAGTGAACAGACACACTTTTGATTCTGGAAATGCAGCCACATGCCTGCAGTGCCTCAGGCCAGAAGCTGGGAGCCTTCCCTTTCCTGCCCTTCCTCAGTAGCTGAGCTGGAGGGAAGCTGAGCAGGGCATGGCCAGGCCCTGGCAGGCCTGAGTGTGATTGGGGAAAGGTTTAAACCCCCAACCTGGCCTGCAGGGACCACAGCTGAGGTATGTCTGGAGAGGGAGAGGGGAAGCAGCACTTGCCAGGCTTGGTGAGGGGGGGATGATGAGTGTGGCTAGCCCCTGGCCAGATGCCAGCACGACATGGTCCCTTAAGGTGAAGGGAGCAGGGAGGAGGTTTGTTTGCCTCTCCCCCCGGGGGACCACAGCCAGGGTCTGCCAGCCCCGGCCACTGCCTCTGCTGCTCACCCCTGGCTGGGGTCCCTCAGGGGGAGGGAGGGAATAAACCCCATCCCTGCCCTTTTTGACTTGGGAGGCCATGCTGGACAAGTCCTCGCCCCTGCTGCTGGAGCAGTGAGGGAGGTGGGACCCTGACAGGGGAAGCAGCCCCTGACCTGGTATCCCAGGGAGTGCAAGCCACTTCCTGGAGTGGGGATTGCACTACAGGTGGGAGCACTGCACTAAAGAAAAATGATACTGATTGTGACATTGGGTGGGGCGGCTCCTCCTTTCCCCTCCCCTCCCCACCCCCACAAATACCGCAGCCCATAGAAGCTGAAAATTGGTTGTATATAGTCCAGCAGGCTCTAAACATTCTCTTATCAGCCCCGCTGGTGCATGCTAGCAACTCACCTCTGGGAGTAAGGGCTGCTGGAAAGATGGTTAGTTTACCAATATATGTTGTATAACATGCATATGCATTCTAAAACATGAGCTACACCATTGTCTTGCAAACAAATCCAAAACATTTAAAATCTCTGTACCTTCAACTGATTCATAATTTGCCAGCCTAGGAAGCATCTCTACAACTGATGCTGAAGTTCTCTTCTTTCTTTTTGAAGTTCTCTTCTTTCTTTTCACTGTTTGCATGGCCTGAAAGGGATCAGAAGCAGCACATGTCTGCCAAATCACGTATGACGAACACTGCCTATCCCTATGTGGCAAGAAGCCAGATGCCATAGGAAGTCTGCCTGCAGGAGTTTCAGGAGCTGCTGCAAAAAAATAAGTATGCAACAGGCCAGCCATGTCCCTTGATTACAGTTGCTCATCAGGTGTTCAAAAGATACTGAAGTTTGGGGGTGAAGGTGGCATTGTGCAGTCTACCTTTTCCCTGAACACAAAGGTAAACTACATGGACTGTGAACTCAGTACTAGAATTTCACATGTGGCATGTAACGTGACAGTACATTTAGTAACCTTTATTTCTGGTGAACCTGTAATTACAGGGTAACACATATCATGTAACACGTGATCTTTCAGTAACAGCACTGGGAGTTTAGAGACACTGAATAGCCTTCTCCAGTATCTTATGGACTTGGTAAACCTGAACCTTATCTGGAGGTGCTTGTGCAACCTTCATTTGATCCATTGTACCTGCATATTGTAACAATTCCCTTAACTATGTGATCATGTGATAATTGTTCTGTGGGAAGCCTGTCTTATTTGGTCCATAGATCAGACAGTGATCCAGTCTGGGAATTATAAGAAGAGATGTTTGTTTTTGTTTTTTAAGGCACTGACTTGTATTCCTTGCCTTATCCCAGATTTATATAATACAGGGCAAGACTAAGGGTAGTCAGTTTTTGGCCTGCAGGCCAGCTCTAGTGCACAGCACCGTGTTGTCTGGCCTCGCTGTAGGTTGGAGAAGAGCAGTGCTACTGCTCCCCTACTGCCAAATCTCTGGACCCATGGAGAACCCTGGGCCCTGCATGCTAGATTTGGTGCCTGATCCTAGCACACAGGGCCTGGGAGGGGGCAGCACTGGGCCATTGGGAGACAGTCTTGGTGTACAGGGCCTCGGAGGAGGCAGTGCTGGGTCTCTGGATCCAGTCTCAGCGTGCAGGGCAGGGAGGGGTAAGTGCTGGGGCCAAGCCCTGATCCGGCCCACAGATGGGCTCCTCACTCTCATCTGGTCCAAGGGGCCAGAAGTTTGAGCACTGCTGGGCAAGACTGTTGAAGTGTGTAATCACAAGGATGAATCAAAGCCATTTAACCTTACCTTTAGCATTCTTAACTTGGGCGCTTGACCAAAAGTAGTTCTGTACCTAATTTTTTTATTTGTATTTAACATTAATAATTTCAGGTAGTCATGTGCCTGTTTCCACAGCTATAGTTTAGCAATTAAATATCTATATTTTGGCTGTGATTTCTCAATAGGAGCTTGGTGTACAATTTCATTTGAATGTCCTCTGCATTTGGGTGCCTACCATCCTTAGGCTCCTTTGAAAATCTCAGACTTCATTTATATTTTTAAACTGCTGCATGGCTCCCTCTTCATCCCTACCCCAACTGCACTATGATGGCATGCCCTGGCCGTTGGCTCCCTGAGCCCTGTGGGCTGTGCTGCCAGTGCCCTGTCCCAGAGGTCATGAGGGCAGGCAGTAGAAGCTGGGAAAGGAAGGGGGAGCCCAGAGTCTATAGCATCAGCAGATAGTGATGGGGAGAGCAACACCCAGACCTGGAGCCCAGGAGCCACAGGTTAACCCCTTAGGGGCTGCATGTAGCCTGTGGGCTACCAGTTGGCAGTTCTGTTTTAAATAATGAGAAATATAGCACATTATGACTGATAGCAAGGTCGATACAATAGAGTCGGCCTAAGCTGTTATGTTAATAGAGGGTCTAAAGATGCACAACTGGACAGGTTCATTTTATTTATAAGGATGGGATTACATTCTGCGTCTGCTTTCAGGACAGGAATTGTTACTGTGGGAATTTCAGGAGGTTTTTGGCCTTCAAAATGCCAAGCAGGGAGGTCTGTTAAGTGGCTGTCATCTGCCATCTTCCTTTGGTTATAGGAAACTCAGGGACAGCGGGAGGAGGAATAAATTGAGTGTATCTCATGAGCTGAACAGGTGCATGCCATTTTGAGGGTTGTTCATGATGCTTTCTAGTATTGAAGCAATAGCAGTGGCAGCAAAAAAAGTGAGGAGACTAGAGGTAAAGATAAATTGTACCAGGAGACCTTGCAACATTACCACGTAATTTATAGTCTTGTTTACACTAGAATGTTTTTCAAAATATTGTCTGACAGTCTAGTTCACCAACAGCATGAGCAAGGTGTTGGTGGCCTCCTGTAAGCTTTTAGCCCTTCTCCCATAGAGCTGAACCATGGATAGCAACAGTAGGAAATGTTAGAAAAGGTCCTGATACAGCAACAATTCTAGTTTATTTAGTTTGTTTTGTAGTAGTATTCCAATTTTTGGTACGCTTCCATTTGCAGTTTTTCTCTCAATGAGCAGTCTTTTTATTGAAGTGTTCATGCTAAAATACTACAGTTTCCCCCACAAAACCTCATTAACTTTCAGGTAAGACTGCTACAATAAATCATGTAACAGTTAGACAAAATAGAGTAGAAAGAGAAATGCTGTGCATTAAAATTCTTGGAAATAACCACTTAATTTATGAATTATTCTATTATTCTTAATAGTTCATGTGCTCAGTTACTAACAGAATGATGTACAGGTTGAGAGGGCATAAAAATGTCTTATGGCAAATTCACATGTCAGGATGTCATTACCTGAATGTATGAATAGTGGGGATTGTTAGAAGGTTTCTGTAAATTAAATTGGACAGTTTATATTCTTTCAAATGCACACCAGAGATTGTACCAGTAGCTATCCATCGCCTAGCTTGCCATATGCAGATGGGGTGAAAGTAGTGTCATGTCAGCTATACAGCTGCAGTAATTCCTACAGGCTATCTGACTGTAGGCTTTTGGGAGATGAGGAGTAAAAAGGAGGAAACGGGAAAGCTCATTTTAATTAACTCTCATTCCTTGAGTACTTCTGCCACTCAGTGTAGCTATTTTTTGTTTAGAGAAATGATGGGTTTTTGTGGCTTTGCAATTGTAAAGGAAGGTTGCCAGCATCATTTACCTTTCAGGGCCTGTCAGCAGCAGGTCATGGCTATAATAGTTGGAAATAAGACCTAGAAATTTGTTTTGAGATGAACAATAATTGCAAACCATGGTGACAAAGTACATTCATTATTTTTGAAGCTGAGGCCAGAACTCCAGGAAGAAACACTGATTATCCATAGGAAGCTAACATCAAACATTTCAGCTAAAGAAACCTGTACCTTTTTCTAGGTGTCATGTAATCATATCTACCTTAACTATATTATTACTATATTTTTCTTGCATATAAATACCCTGAAATATAATATGTAACTTGTTTTTGAAATGCAGAATGAAGTCTGCCATATTTGTGTTGGAAACCTGAGCTACAGGATTGACAGTCTCTTTTAAATCAGTTAACAGAAATGTTAACCTGTAATGTTATTTCTGTGTCTGCTGTATTGATGGCAAGTTTGCAAAGGGCTATTTCACTTAACATGTGGCCTGACTTGTAAAATAACTGCAATGCATAGCTGAGTGGCATAACACTGAATATAAGTCGGTGGGAAGGAACAGAACAAGGAAATGAAAATTGCTTACCATAAGGAAAATGGTGAAACCCACATTGCAGCAGTTTGGGGAATCTCTGTATTGTATTTTTTCAAGACTTTAGTATTATAATATTGTTCTAATTTAAGGAATGTTGGGAAAAATAAGTATATTCTCATCCATATACTGATTATCCACATATATCTGCTGTGAAGGTTTATTTGGTGGGGGAGGGGGGAAAGGAAAGCTATTTTTGACTAGCTAAAGCAAATCGTCATAGGCTTGCATGGTTTTTGAATGGTTGAGCTAGTTAATCATCCAAATCACTGCACACAAATAGAAAATGAAGCTCTAGTTTCCAGCAGTAGCTGGTAATTTTAGGTGTGGTTAGTTTTGTTGTTGTTGTTGTTAATACAGAAGTCAAGCAAATGTGTTTTGCGAGTGTACACCTGCATGGAAAGTTTCTCTGCATTTTATAAATGCCATTACCTGCACTCTAGGTCCAGAACAGTAAGTTTTTGCTTGTGTGGTAGTTGGCAAACCCACTAGCATAGGAAAAATTAGTGAAGAGCTCTGTTCATGGATTTAAATGGCAGTAGTAGAAGAAAGTGTTGTATTTCCAACTGAACTGCAGCTTCTCTTTACTCGTGATTTGCATCATGAATATTTAGCTGTGTTAAAATCAAACTCCTGGTATTAACTGCCGTTGAGCAACCAAGTTCAATTCCTTAATTTGGTTTCTCGCACTTTTTATGCTCAAATGATGCAGTAGCCGTTGCAGTTAGTAAAATGCCATGGGACCAACTGCTGGGTCACTCTATTCTCACGCTGCTCTGTAGACATAGCTGTGAGACTAATGCCAAGGACTAATCCAGTGGAATAGTGCCAGATTAAGTACCAAGGGATGTGTGTGTCTGTAGAAGCTGTGATGTTTTGAATGTAGTTTTAGCCTTTTATTCTTGATTTGTCCTGTGCAGGGTGTGCTGCCTTTTGGGTCCAGGTCACACAGCACTACTTTCTGAAACCTTGATTTCTGGGGCATTTCAAAAAGCCTTTTGGGAGTTCAGGGTAACTGTGAGAGAAGGTCAGAATCCCAGAATCCTGTCCTGATTTCACAGCTCTTGCTGTTTTAAGCAAGAAGCAAATTTCTATCCGGGAGCTTTGCAGTGAAAGGTCATACAGGCTGCTATCATTCAAATGGACCTAGAAACTGAATATTATCTGGGCAGGGATTTAAGGAAGGGAATTTTCTTACTAGCTTTCCTATGCACTGTTTTGCTGCAGCTCCTATTGTACATCATGTCACTGTAGAATGGCAGGCATGGAGATTTGTGTTTCTAATTAAATATTGTTTGATTCAATTTACTTGTTTTAATTTAGTGTTATGATTTCACTGATAACAAGGGGTTAACTTACTTACGGAGGTGCTTGATGGACAGGAAGTCAATGTGGATTTCTTGACCTTAGCTGGGTCTGCCAGAGTAGTACAGTAGATATGGTAAGGTGGTCAGACAAAGAGAACTGGTTCTGCCAAGGGGTTTGGTGTCAAGGCAACTCCTACCTAGTGTTAGGACCTCATGAACCTGACCAGGGCGTTACCTGGCAGAAGGCACTGGAGGCTA